CTTTCCCTATTGTAGGAATCCCCCATTCTAAACCTGAACTCATCACTCAGCTAGAGCGAGGAGAAGAGCCCTGGAGAAAAGAAAGAAGACACACCTGTGCAGGTGAGGGGAGGGCAGGTGAAAGACCCCAGAGACCTGGGTCCCTGGGCAGGTGAGGGGAGGACACGGTGACAGACCTGAGAGCCCCAGGCCCCTGTACAGGTGAGGGGAGGGCAGGTGATAGACCCCAGAGCCCTGGGCCCCTGTGCAGGTGACGGGGGAGGAGGGGTTGGTGGACCCCAGGGCCCTAGGTAGTCCGGAGGGGGAGGCGTCCCTAAAGTCTGGAAGAAGCTGCTGCCCTGGCACCCTTGGCTCTCTCCAGATCACCTGGCTCTGCCTGAGAGGGCTCTCCTGGGCCCTGATTTCTTCCAGCAGGAGCAAAGCCAGAGATCCACTTGTGTCCCTGCTGCCCATTGGCCTTCTCTAGTCGGCACTTCCTCAGCAAACACTTGCTGCGCTACCATCCTGCCCAGATGTCCCCAGGCGTGTGTGCAGAGAGTGACCTGTGGCCCAGGGACCCTGGCCTGAAGCAGAATCAGCAACAGCTTTCTGATCAGATGAGCCAGAGTGGCAAAACAGAAGATCAAGAGAAGGAGAGAAGCTGTAGACCCTTGTTTAGGTTGGAGACACAGACTTTGAGTGCATCTTCCAGCTCAGCCCTGAGGCAGCCAGCAAGCTCCAGGGTAAGGGACAGTGCCATGGAAGTAGACCCTAGCCAAAGCTGGAGGGAATATCTTAAGGAAGCAGACAAAGTACTAACAGGCATAAAAAATTCAAGCTGGGGAGCATTTGGGTGTGCAGATGGTGTGCTGGACATTAGCCAGAAGCCCATGCTGTTCCTGCAGGAAAACACACAGGCCAGGCAGAAGCTGTGTACGTGCAGGGAATGTGGACAGGGCTGTGGTGGTGAGTCAGCGTTCCTTTCATACCGGAAGACACATGTAGGAGAAAGGCCCTACATGTGCAGAGAGTGTGGGCGAGGCTTCAGCTTGAAGGCGTATCTCAGCAGACACCAGAGGACACATTCAGGGGAGAAGCCCTTCATGTGCAAGGAGTGTGGGCGAGGCTTTACCAGTAAGTCACACCTCATTGTGCATGAGAGAACACACTCAGGAGAGATGCCCTATGTGTTTAGGGAATGTGGGCGGAGGTTTAGTGATAAGTCATCCTACAGTATGCATTTGAAGACACACACAGGGGAGAAGCCCTTTGTGTGCAAGGAATGTGGGCAAGCCTATACCAGTAAGTCAAACCTTATTGTGCATGAGAGGACACACTCAGGAGAGAGGCCATTTGTGTGCAAGGAGTGTGGACGAGCTTATGTCAGCAAGTCATACCTCATTGTGCATGAGAGAACACACTCAGGAGAGAGACCCTATGGGTGCCGGGAGTGTGGGCGGAGGTTTAGGGATAACTCATCCTATATTAGGCACTTGAAGGTACACTTAGGGGAAAAGCCCTATGTGTGTAAGGAGTGTGGTCGAGCTTATATTAATAAGTCTTATCTCACTGTGCACAAGAGGACACACACAGGAGAGAAACCCTATGTGTGCAGGGAGTGTGGGCGAGCCTTCATCTTGAAGTCATATCTCACCAGACACCAGAGGACACACTTGGGGGAGAAGCCTTTCAAGTGCAGGCAGTGTGAGCAAAGCTTCAGCTTGAAGGCACATCTCCTCACGCACCAGAGGACACACTCAGGGGAGAAGCCCTATGTGTGTGGAGAGTGTGGGCGAGGCTTCAGCCTAAAAGCAAATCTCCTTTCACACCAGAGGACACACTCAGGGGAGAAGCCCTTTGTGTGCAGGCAGTGTGAACAGAGTTTCAGGCAGAAGTCAAGTCTTCTCAGACACCACAGGACACACTCTGGAGAGAAGCCTTTTGTGTGTAAGGAGTGTGGGCGAGGCTTTACCGTCAAGTCGACACTCATCTTCCACCAGAGGATACACTCAGGGGAGAAGCCCTTCATGTGCAGGCAGTGTGAGCAGACTTTTAGCTGGAAGGGAAATCTTCTTCGGCACCAGAGGACGCACTCAGGGGAGAAGCCTTTTGTCTGTAGCGAATGTGGGCAAGGGTTTATACAGAAATCATATCTTACGAAACACCAGAGTGTACACTCAGGGAAGAAGCCATTTGTGTGCAAGGAGTGTGGGCGAGCCTACACCAGGAAATCACACCTCATCGTGCATGAAAGGACACACACGGGAGAAAGGCCTTATGGATGCCGGGAGTGTGGGCGAAGATTTAGTGATAAATCGTCCTACAATAAGCACTTAAAGACACACCTAGGGGAGAAACCTTTTGTGTGTAAAGAGTGTGAGCGAGCCTATACCAGTAAGTCAACCCTCATTGTGCATGAGAGAACACACACAGGAGAGAGGCCCTATGGATGCCAGGAGTGTGGGCGAGCCTACACCAGTAAGTCACACCTCATTGTACACGAGCGAACACACACAGGAGAGAGGCCCTATGGGTGCCAGGAGTGTGGGCGAAGGTTTGGCCATAAGTCATCCTATAATACCCACTTGAAGTCACACACATAAACAAAATCTTATGAGAGAGAGTGTGGGCAAGGCTTCAGCTTGGAGTCATGTCTCACCCCAGAGGCATACTCGGACAACCTTTGTCTTGCTACAAAGCTGTAGCCAGGGCTGTGCACCAGTTCTAAAGAGATTCAAAGAAAAGAGGTCAAAGTTTGGGGAACAAGATGCCAGTTTAGGAGAGGGAATCAACTGAGCTCTTGGGAAACGTAGTCTCTTTTCTTCTGAACACATAATTTAATTGTATCTGCACCAAGTCATGCCTCCCAAGGCCTATTACTATTAGCCTCTTCCACCTTCTTAGACTCACAGCACTCTGGGGAACCTTCACCCCTCTCTACACTCTCTCTTCCTTCCTAGTCCTCCTCGCCAGCTATCCTAGGTGCTGTGGTTTTAATGTTTTTGTCCCCTCCAAAATTCATGTTGAAACTTAATCACTCACAGCACCGAGAAGTGGCCTTTAGGAGGTGACTGAGTCAGGAGGACGGAGTCCTCCTGAGTGGGATTAAGGTGCTCTATAAGAGCTTGATGGGAAGTTGTTTGGCCTTTCTGCCATGTGAGGATACTGTTCCTCCCCATACAGCATTAAGGTGCCATCTTAGAAGTGAGCAGATAACCAGAATTGCCAGTGCCTTGATCTTAGACTTAACCATTCTCTAGAATTGAGAAAAGAAATGTGTATTCTTCCTATGTTACCCAGTCTGTGGCATAGTAGCACAGAGGGACACTTGGCCCATGGCTTCCCCACCATTTTCTCATGTATGATCATGGCTCCAAATAAAAACCTGACCTGTCCATCCTATCTTGGTATCTTTTTTGCAGAGAATCCTCACTAGCACAAGTGATACCAAGGACAAAGAAAGTAGGTGGTAAAATATGGATTTGGAAACTGGTGCCACCTCTGCTTAACAGAAGAGCAGGTTGGCAGGTGGGGCACAGGTTGGTGTTCAGCAAGAGGAGATTTCACAGGGGTTTCCTAAGAAAATGCCCCATTTGAGGGGAAAACCTTGTCTGGTGTGATATATGGGCACTTGGGAATGTGGGGGAACAGTGCCTACAGAGCAGAGTTGCCTAGCTACTTCTGACCTACATTAACACCTGCAGAGAACACTGAGAAATGGAGCTGTTCTTCAGCCATTGGAAAACAGTTAATGTAAAACAGGAATCCTGCATGAGTGCTCACAAAGCCTTTCTATACTCATGTGGGAGGTCAGTAAAGGGCTGAGGGCTTAGTGGTGAGAACTGAAGAACTCCGGAGATGTTCAAGTGCTCAGGCAAGACACATCTGTTCTGGGTAAAGATTTAGACCACATTACCCAGGCATCTCAGAAGAAAATCTCTGTACAAAACTGTAATTTTGCTAGACTTTCTGAGGGAAGAGTTCCTGGGAGAAACACCAGACTATATTACCCAGAGCTATATGGGAACAGGACTTGTGGGTAGAACTTCAGTCTACATCATATAGAAGCCTTGAGAGGTCATCTAGCTACCAGAAAGCTGGAGTACACTTTCCAGAGGAGCCAGGAAGAAGACTTCTGGGAAGGACTGCCAGACTACACTACCTAGATGGCTCTAGAGGACAGAAACCCGGACAATATGAAGGAGTCACCTCTGAAAGTGGCCAGGAGTATGCTTGAATGTATATAAAAATTAGAATATATTAATAAAAAATGAGAATAAGCAAATGAATAAATAAAATAAAATAAATATTAAAAAATGGGGAAGAAAAAAAGAGATTTCCAGGTGAAGCCAGACCACCAACCAGTGGCCTCCAGGAGAAAAAATACCTTTGCCTACAATGTCATAATACAATTCCCAGAGTCTTGGGGAAAATACTTATCATAGGTAATGCCAGAAATCAAAACCCTGAGGCTTCTGGTAGCATGAATTTCAAATAGAGTCGAAACTACACTACCCAGAAGACACTGAGGTGGAAGAATTCCAGGTAGAATATAGACTACAATACCAAAAGCCTGGAGAGAAAAACATATCATGAGAAAGCCAGAGTAACTTTCCACAGTTGCCAGGTGGAAGAATTCCGGTCTGAAACACCAAACTAAACTATTTAGAAGCCTTTGAAAAGCGTAATCCTTTCAGAATGACATAATGCATTTCCTGGAGAGGCCAGCATGAAGATTTTTGGTTACAAACACCAAATTACACTACCCTGATGCCTCTGAAAGAAAGACTTCTGGAAAGAAGCACATACTACACCAACTCAAGGCTTTTATAAGGAAAACTTCTGACCACAATTAAGCCACTGGGTCCAGGACTCGAACCACGGTCGACTACATGGAAGTCTAGTGACATAACCATTATGCTAACTGCTGGGCCCTGGGAGGAATTCTGGGGAGAGCTTCAACTTCAAAAAAATTGCCACCAGAAGCCAGAGTACATTTTTTTCAGTCAGCATGAAGAGGAATTATGGGCATAAATGCTAGAATACACAACCATAGCAACATTTTTGAGCAAAAAGTACAACTAGTGACAAAGACCACACTACCCAGTAGACTCAAGGAGCTTGACTTTGAGATAATCTTCAGTCTACACGGCTCAGAAGCTTAGGGAAGAAAACTCACCACTAGAAAGCCAAAGAACACTTTCCAGAAACTCCAGGAGGAAGAATTCTGGGCATAAACTCCACACTACACTAGCTACTTTTCTCTAGGAGGAAGGCTTAAAAAAACATGCCAGGAGCATGGGAGTGCATGCATGTACAAAATCCTGAGCAGGGAATGGAGGAGAAGGTATCATGGTGTGGCTATTCCTCCTGGGGCTGGGAGCGATCTCTCACTATCTCTGTCTCTCTGGTGATTTTACGCACCTGTGGCAAAAGTAAAAAAAAAAAAATAAGTCTATGGATAAATAGAGTCTTCGTTGTTTACAAATATGTGGCAAGGATAGGATGGGAGGAGAACCTAAGACATATTGACCAGATGTGCTGGAGGCTCCTAGTTTGATTGTGATGTGATCTATTGGATATATATAATAGGAGAACCTGGCATATTTATTGGCCACTAGTTAAGATGGACTTATTGTTGATTGTTTTCGGTGTGACAGCAGCATCATGGTGACATTAGTCTTTCTTCCTATTGTGTGCCTAAGTTGTTTGACCAATGAAGCTAGGGTTTGCTTGAAACTCCTCCCACAGGGAGTTTTAGGTCACAATGGGCTGCCAAGGGAAGCATCTTCCTGAAATTCAAGAACTATATCACCCAGAGACTTCTGAGAGGAAGACTGCAGGGCATAGGACCAGTATATGCTGTGCAGAGGCCTCTGGGAGGAGGACTGGTAGGCATAAGAGTTACCTAGAGTCCCCTCGCCCCCCGAGCAGAAGAGTTCAGGGCATGGCACCAGTCTAGAATACCCAGAGGTTTCCATCAGAGAGACTGAGTTCAGGGTGTAGCACAAGAATACATAGCCCAGAGGCTTCTGGGAGGAATCCATTCTGGTGCGAGAATCCATTACCTGGAGGCCACCAGGATGTAGACTTCTAAATAGAGCACTGCACTACATCACCCACAAGCCTCTGAGATGAAGGCTTTGGATTGTAGCATCACTGTACATGACTTTGAGGCCCCCTGGAGGAAGAATTAGCAGTGTAGAGCATACAGGACTGTGATACCCAGAGGACCCTTTAAGAAAGAGTTCTGGCTATGGGGCTGGAACACACACTTCCCTGATGCTTTGGGGTGCCCCACTAGAGTGCCCACAGCACCAGGGGCATGGAGTTCCACTTCTGAGCAGGGAATTTTTCTCCCTTGACAGTAGGTGAGGTGCCAAGTCTGCACTGACATTTTGAAAATCTACGTTGCCAGGGGACCAGCAGATTGCATAGCAGTTATATCACTGGACTCCCATGTAGTCAACTGTGGTTCAAGTCTGGACCCAGTGGCTAAAAACTCATGCTGGACATGTGTGCCCAAAATCCTGAGAGAAGGATGGTGGAGAAGAGATTGCAGAGTGGTTATTACCCCCTCGGGGGTGATTTCTTGCTCTCTCTCTCTCTGTCTCTCTGGTCAGTGCACATGCCCTATAGCAAATCTCTCCCCCCAAAAAGAAAAAATTCTAAAAATTCGGCAGGTGGCACATAGTTTAAGGCTTTACATCCCCCATGGCTGACAGTGTGGTTCGAGTCTCAGACCCTCGACTTTGAAAATCATGTGCCCAACATGCTGAGAGCAGAATGGAAGAGAAAGCATAGTGGTAGGGTCAGCTTCCTTGGGGTAAGGAATGACTTCTCATACCACTTTTACCTTTCCTCCATCTCTGTGTCTCTCTAGTGTGTACACAAATCCTATGGCAAACCTTGGGGGGAAAAAGGAAAGATTAAATTCCGGCAGTTTGTAAATCCTTGGAATATTTAGGACCAATGCCAGTGGCTGCTTTCTGTAAATCATACATAGTCACTGAAAATAGAATTCCTGGGCTCTGGTAGGTGGCTTAGTAGTTAAGGCACTAGACTCCCATTTGGCAGACCATGGTTAGAATCCCAAACATGGTGGCTTGTTTTCTCACTCTCTCTTTCTCACTTAATCTCCATCTCTCTCCCACCTCTCTCTCCATCTCTCTTTGGTCCAGTCAAAGAATAATAATAATTATTAAAATAACTGAAATGAAGTAAATATTAAAAATGTTTTCTCCTGTTGAGTGGATGAACTCATAAGCCACATATGCCTCTGTCTCTTTGGATTATTTTAAAATTTTATATATATTTTTATATACATTAAATCACATTGTTTAGCTTACAAAGTGAACATTTCAATATGTGAACATTTATCCCCAGTCCAGTTGACCAAAATATCTTCAACAGATAACACCACACCTCCCCATCCTGTCAATGCTCTGCCTCTGTATTCCTCCTCCAAATGTCTTCCCCTAGGTCCTACTCCTCCACACACACCACATCTGGCATTCACACCCATCTCTTGTGTTTGTATATCTTTTAGTCAATCAGTTCCAGTCATAGAGTACAGACACTCAGTATATATTAAGTGGGGACATACAGTGTCTTTCCTTCATAGCCTGGCTTGCTCCACTCAGCAGTACATCTTCCATATTCTTCCACTTTTTGTCAAAAGCCAGGGTTTTGTTGGTTTTTAAGACTAAATAGTATTCCATAGAGTATATGTGCCACAGTTTTTCAATCCATTCATCCATACAGGGGCATTTGGGTTGGTTCCATGTCTTAGCAATTGTGAATAGCGCCACAATAAACATCAATGTGCAAGCACTTTTCCAATGAAGAAATGATCATGACTATCATCTTAATTTGTAATACAATTTTGACCACAGAAGTTAGCTGAAACTTTGATCTCATGATTCATGCCTTTCTAGTTTCTTTCATTTTTACCTTTCTCATAGTTTGAAAGTATACAAATGTGGGTAATGTATATCCTACATTCATCCAAAATGTACTTTCTCTTCTTCATTGGAAGTCAAGGGATGGACCTCACAATCAATGTGACCTTAAATGTCTATTTCAAGTCTGTTCAAAAGATCATGTTAAAATATCAAACACTTCCAATTTCAGCATTGTGTGATCCCTATTTACAGATTCTATTTCTCCATATTAATATCCCTGACATGTTCATAAGGTAGTATTCAGAAGAGATGAGAACATCTCATGCCTGTTGAGTTCACAAAGAGAAAGGTGCGATTTTGGGTCATGTTTTAAATGATTATTACTCTTGAATGAATAGACACAGATGTGTGATGTAGCAAATTAAGGTTGTGAGTTGAAGAGATTCTATTTCTTGTTCTCGTCTTCATTTCTTCTTCATTCCTTCTATTT